GTAAGAGGGGTGTGGGGACGTGACATAATGAACAGAGGAAATGTTATTTTAGTGCCAGGAATGTCTTGTTTATCTGGACCCTAGTCGGAAATTGGCATCTTTTGAAATTTGTGTGAAATTGGCAAAATTGCTAAATTCTGACCACTGTATTGGGTAATTGACATCGGTAAATGGGTGGTTTCTTGTACTCATTCGATAGAAAAAATGGAGTTCTAATGAATTAGTTATGATTTTTGTCGACTAGTACACTGGTATTGGCCGAAAAAGGGCTCAAAGTGGGCAAAATCGCCAATGCGTAAATATTGTTGAGACTGCTAACTTCGCGAGAGCATAATTCCGTAAGTTTTACATCAAATTTCATACTTTTGGTGTCATTATGATCGGGAAAAGATTCTCTATCTTTTCATAAGAAAAAATAATTTTTTGTTTTTTTTTGAAATTTGGCTGACCCTGAGAACAAGTCTCTGAGAGGGCTGTTGACCCTTAAAGGGTCGACAGGCCCTCTCAGAGTTAGCTCTTTGACTGTTTTGGTTGTATATATGCATCTTACGTGCCACTGTTTCAGACGTATTTATACGCGTAAATTCTAGCGGCTTCAAATCAAGCAGGAGAAAGCTGGTAGGCTCACATGTGAGAGAATGGGTCTGTGTGGTCAGTGTGCATCACAAAAAAAATCCTGCAGCACACAGTGCATAATGAGAAAAAAAATGACCATCTTTTTGGATTAAAACGTCGACTTTGAGGTGTATTTTCGTATAGTATTTATAGTTGTATTCTCGTTTTCATGGTCTCGCATGATAAAATGGAAAACATATTACAGAAACAGAGATGATTTTGATTAGTTTCACGATGAAAATGACCTTGAAATTGAGCTCAAAGTAGCGGAAATGTTCGATTTTTTACCAATGTTCAGGAGTAAGCAAATCACACCACACATCCAATACATGTCAACTAGTGAGTCTAATATTCTTTCACTAGTGCATTGATATTATTTATACCATTTTTACAATAATGCAGTAGTCTGCATAACAGTAAATTTTTGTATTTTTTGTATGAATAAAAAATCAAAATCGAAAGCAATAGTAATATAAGAGGGTCTAGAGACGTGACTAATGAACAGAGGATATGTTATTTTAGTGCCAAGAATGCTCTACATTGTTTATTCTGGACCCTATTTTGAAATTGGCATCTTTTTTAATATGCATGAAATTTGCCAATTTCTGACCACTTTATTGGGTAGTTCAAATCGGTAAATGGGGGGTTTCTTGTACTCAACTGATAGAAAAAATGGAGTTCTAAAAAAAATAGCTATGAGTTTGGTCAACTGGAACAACGAAATTGGCCAAAAACAGGCTCAAAGTCGGCAAAATCGCCGATGCATATATGTCGCTGAGACCGCTAACTTCGCGGAGCGTAATTTCCGTGAGTTTTCGACCAAATTTCATACTTTTGGTGTCATTACCATTGGGAAAATATTCTCCATCATTTCACAATAAAAAATTTTTTTTTTCTAAAAATTTTGCGACATAAAATGACAGTTTCAGAAAGGGGCTTGCGACAGTCAAAGGGTTAAAGTGCAGACATTGTGCTTCCCACTTCCAGGACTCGAGTCCGACTAACCAGTTTCCCTGAATTCCTTCACAAAATATTACCCTGCTCACACTCCAATAGCTCGTCAGGTCCTAAAAACCATTCACTCTTATCTGACACGCTCACGCACGCTTGCTGGAAGTCCAAGCCTCTCGCCCACAAAACCTTTACCCCCTCCCTCCAACCTTTTCAAGGATGACCCCTACCCCACCTTCCTTCCCTGTAGATTTATATGTTCTCCAAGTTATTCTCTTTGTCCCATGCAAATATGTTGTGGATAATATACCATTATATCAGAGACAGTGAGTAGCTAAAATCATGAATATGGACATACTGTAATAGAGAAAATAAGTATGTATGTCCTGAAACAACTGTATTGGGACAACATATCACTACATTTTAAGACAAGGACAAACTGTCTTGTATCAGTAAATACATAATGGTTGGGAGTGCAATGGTGAACTGCATTGCCACTGATGTTTAAGGAAATAGTAGTCAATTAGATGCCATACAATGCAGAACATCATTAATACTGACTTTCTACTGACAGTACTTATCTTATTGTTGCTGACAGCACCTTTCTTATTGTTGCTGACAACAGCTTTCTTATTGTTGCTGACAAACAGATTTCTTATTGCTACTGACATCTTTCTTAATATTGATGATAAACTCTAACTGTTACTGATAACACATCATATTGTTGCTGACAACACCAGTATCATGAAATTTTTTCATTCTATTGGCATTCTGCTAGGAAATGGGTCTCTAAGTGCAAAAGCTAATCTGTTAACATTTTTTAGTCTGGCAGGAATGTTGGTCTTTCTTTCTGTCCCCATGGACTTGCGAGATGACAGATAATTTTTACGTACACTAAACTTCCTATCTTGTGTATTTCTTAACCTTTTCAGGGTCCAAAGGGGCCAAATTTAAAAGGGGGTGCCCGGGGTCCAAATTTAAAAAAAAAAAATTGTTATTTTTTCTTTGAAATGGTAAGGAATATTTTTATGAAGGTAATAAAACAAAAAGTACAAAAATTTGAAGGGAAAAATTTGACGAAATTATGCTCTCGCAAATTTTGATGTGTCCCGCGATTTTTACGAATCGGGGGATTTTTGCTGACTTTGCTCCCATTTTAGGCCCAAATTTTACATTATTTCAGTCAAACCAAATTCTTAGCTATTTCACTAGTATTACTTCTATTCTATCGATTGAGAACAAGAAATTGCCAAGTCAACTGTTTCAACTACAAAATAAAATGATCGAAATTGGTAATTTTGGCCAATTTAACACAAAGTTTTCAAAATATTCCAATTTCAAAATAGGGTCCCAGAGTAAACAATGTAGGTATTCCTGGGACAAACTAACATTTCCTCTGTTCATTAGTTACATTTTCAGGCTTTACAAATGAATTCCATTTTTATTTTTTATTCACATTATGAATTTTTATTCAAACCAAAAATAGAAGATTTACTGTTATGCAATATTGTAATAATTGTTTTAAATATCATCACCAAAATTGTGAATGTATTTTAAAGACCCACCAGCTGGAGTGTATTAGACGTGTGAGGTCGTTTGTTTACTTTTGGGAAACATCGGCAAAAATTTAACATTTCTGCTACTTTTGAGCTCAGTTTCAAGCCATTTCAGTGCTAAAACCAATCAAAAATCTCTATTTCTGTAATATGTCTTCCATTTTATCAAATGAGACCAAGAAATTGCAAATACAACTATGAAACATACGAAAAAACACACTGCAAATTCGCTGTTTTAATCGAAAATCACGGTCTGTTTTTGTCTCTCGTTATACACTGTGTGCTGCAGGATTGTTTTATGTGGTGCACACATACCACATAGATGTATTCTCTCCACATCTAGACCCAAATTTACCACTCACAGCTTATCAGAGTGAGCTGAGCTCATGGCGTAGATCTACGGTTTGGACCTGAACGTAAAGCCCGTAGATCTACGGCAAGGACCCTGAAAGGTTAATACAGTAATTATTCCTATAAAGATTACTTTCCATTTGTGAGGTCTGGTCTCAATCTATGCCATGATGCAAGATCCCAGGAATTCTAAATCCAAATTCTGACTGAATTTTAATAACATTACAGGCAGGCCCCTCTTATACAACAAGTTAGGTTCCAGGCTACTGTTGTAAAGCAAAAATTGCTGTAAAGTGATAGAGCCTTTTTTCATTTTCAGATAGTATAAAAGCCTAATAATGTTTACACCATTGTATATTAACCTTTTCACTGACTGTGCCATAATACTATTTCTTTGAATTCACTGGCCGTGCCGTAGTACTATGTGATGAGCTTGACTCGCTCAGACAAGCTGTGAGTGGTAAATTTGGGCCTAGATACAAGAGAATGGGTCAATGTGGTAAGTGTGCACCATATAAAAAAAATTCTGCAGCACACAGTGCATAATGAGAAAAAACTGACTGTGTTTTTTGTTTAAAACAGCAACTTTGCAGTGTATTTTTGTATAGTTTTAATGGATGTATTCTCAGTTTCCTGCTCTCATTCATTAGAATGGGAGATATATTACATAGTGTGAAATTGAGGCAAAGTAGCGGAAATGTTCGATTTTTGCCGATGTTCAAGAGTTAACAAATCACTTTACATGTCGTAGAACGACGTTTCGGTCTGACTTGGACCATTTACACAGTGCAGGTTATTTGTGTATTGTTCCAGTCATGGTATTATGCCTTTTTGTTCTTTACTAATACATGTACACAATGACGAACATTTCACGTCAAACCCCCATTGCATAACAGTAAATCATCTGGTTTTTGTGTGAATAAAAATTCTTTCTGTGAATAGAAATCAAAATGGAATTCATGTGTAAAGCCTTGAAACATAACTAATTAACAGAGAATGCTTGCATTGTTTATTCTGGACCCTGTTTTAAAATTTGTGTGAAATTGGCCAAATTACCAATTTCTGATAAATTTATTGGGTAGTTGAAATAGTTGATTGGGCTATTTCTTGTGCTCAGTCAATAAAATGGAAGACATACTAGCAAAATAGCTAAGAATTTGCTCCCTGGAGATTTTCAGATTTGATCCAAGGGAATAGGCTAAAACCCACTGTTCCTCAGTTACGAGCCCTTCACACCAACAAAGGCATCTTCTCCTTAAAGACAGAGAGAGTGATCATAAACTATTTTGAAGCAATAAATCCAGTAAATCCATCAACCTACAGCAATGGCACACCTGTAGTAAATGGATGTCATGCGATGCTGGAGAAGATTGGCGAGTGTTGTCATGAGCAAGGCCTTCATATTGTAGCAAAAACTCTTGTACCTACATTAAAGGTGCCTATTTGCTGAAGAGTAGATATCATGTGTTATTGAACTAATTACCTTCAGCATGTAGTGCTTTATATTTAATACCCTGTGAACACATAATGCCTAAGATTTTATCACTGAGCATGCTGCCTAATGTCAAGAAAAACCAGATGTTGACTAATCTGGCATCATCAGGACCTGTAGAGTGCCGAATTAAGTGATTGTGCCGGATTACAGAGTGGTTAAGTTAGAATACACTAGCCCAACAGCTAACCACCTCAATGCTACCTTTAAAATACCCCGAGAATCAGTACAAGTTATGACCCCTGCTCACAAACTTGCTCCCAGTGTTGAAGAATTAAAAAAAAGAAAATTATTTTATGAAATGATAAAGAATCTTTTTCTGAAGGTTATAAAACCAAAAGTACAATTTGAGGAAAACTTACAGAATTACGCATCAGCAATTTGCCCACTTTACACCCCATTTTTTTTGGTCAATTCCATTGTTCCAGTCAACCAGACTCATAGCTGTTTCACTAGAATTTCTTGTATTCTGTCAATTAAGTACAAGAACTACCCATTTACCTATTTTAGCTACCCATTAAAGTGATCACAAATTGGTTAATTTGGCTAATTTTACACAAATTTCAAGAGATGCCAATTTCAAAATAGATCCATAATAAACAATGCAGACATTCTTAGAACTAAAATAACATTTTGTCTGTTCATTAGTCAAATCTCTAGCACCCTCTTATATTATGCTTGCTTTTTATTCTGAATTTTTATTTACACAAAAAGTAGAAGATCTACTGTTATGCAGACTACTGCATTATTGTAATAACTGTATAAATGTCAGCCCATTTGTGGCCGCGTATTACACTAGCCAGTCGGACACGTATTGGATGCATTTACTCTTGAACATCGGCAAAAATCGAACATCTCTGTCCTGATACCACTCAAAACCATCTCTATTTCTGTAATATATCTTCTATTCTATCAAATGAGACCAAAAACCTTAGGAAAATACTCCAAAAAGTTGCTATTTTACACCAAAAACACAGTCGCCGTTTTTTTTTCTCATTAACTGCGTGCTGCAGGATCTTTTTATGTAGTGCACATTTGCCACACAGACCTATTCTCTCATATTTAGGCCCAAATTTACTGGTCACAGCTTATCTGAGTGAGGTGAGCTCATGGCATCGTACTACGGGACAGACAGCAGTTTCAGAGCAGTGATACAATGGTACTAACAATGAAAGTGTTAATAAAGTTAACCAATTTAACTTGCACAAAAAAGTTCATTACTGTCACTTCCAAAATGAAAAGCTAAAATTTACAATGCAACATCTTCACTTACATGTAACCTAAACCACTTCATCAGAACTTGATCTTGTTTCTGAACTTTTTCCTTCCTTCTTGTTACCTTTTACATATCTGTTTCTTTGATTCACTTTTGGGCAAAGAAACTGAGTAATTTTCTCTTCTGTTTCTTTATGTCATAAAACTGTGGAAGAGCCAGTGCTGTATACTTCGCACAAACTTCTCACAGACACACCATTGCCGAGTTTTGTCAGAAGTTCAACCTTATCTTTTATGGACAGTGTACGATGTTTGCATTTTACACAACGAGAAGGATTTCCTCTGTTAATTGGAACCATGGCTGGGGGTTAAAGTGAGCAGGTTAGAACAATAAATAGAGAAAAAATATTGGAATGGGTTGCCTGTGTTTGCAACAGTGTTTATGCAGCAAGTGGCAGCTGGCTGGTGAGGCGACCCAGGAAATTTGAAGTTACGCTAGCCGAAATTAGTGCCAGATTAATGATGGAACTGAATTAGTGATTGCCGGTTTAGTAATGGCTAGCCTGTACTGTATACCCTTTACTCTATGTACTGTACATTCAATTGCTTCTTTAATACTACTAAAAAAATCCAGGTCTGAAATTTACATATACATATATGCTTTTTTATTACAAATTTAGCTTGCCTGGTGCCTCTACTGTGATGTGGTATGCATCAACTATGATGGCAACTTATATGATGCAGCCCTAATAGCACTCATGGCAGCCTTACAAAATGTGAAGTTACCTGCAGTCTCTTATGATGAGGAGAATGATAAAGCTTCTGTGGACATAGAGAGAACTCTCCCCATTACATTAAAGGTACTGAATATGCATATTCTTTATATATATATATATATATTCTTTTTCAGTTTCTGCTTTAATTTTGTATAGAAGTATGAAAATTTTTTAAATCCTGGAGAAGTTCAGAAGTTTTAAATTACATTAAACTCTAAATATTTTATTTTTAGTAATTCAATATGCTCACTGTATTTGCAGGCCAGGCCAGTCGCTTCCACATTTACGGTCTACAGTGACAGCATACAGGTATGGTGTGCACTTAATTATCTATTTGTAGTTACAAGCAGTCCTGTTTAGCAACGAAATGTCTGACAGATATCTGCATTAAATTCATCACATTAGAGCACAGTCAAGTTTAGCAAGGATTTTATTTAACAAAAAGTGCTATTCACTTGTAGCTGATATACCATTAAAATATATCTTTAGCAACATCACCTGGGTTCAATTAACTTAAGAAGCTTAGCAGGCTACATTCATCTCTTATTTTTGATATATTTTTTATTATTTTATTATCACACCGGCCGATTCCCACCAAGGCAGGGTGGCCCGAAAAAGAAAAACTTTCACCATCATTCACTCCATCACTGTCTTGCCAGAAGGGTGCTTCACACTACAGTTTCCAAACTGCAACATTAACACCCCTCCTTCAGAGTGCAGGCACTGTACTTCCCATCTCCAGGACTCAAGTCCGGCCTGCCGGTTTCCCTGAATCCCTTCATAAATGTTACTTTGCTCACACTCCAACAGCACGTCAAGTATTAAAAACCATTTGTCTCCGTTCACTCCTATCAAACACGCTCACGCAGCCTGCTGGAAGTCCAAGCCCCTCGCACACAAAAACCCCCTTTAACCCCCCCCCTCCAACCCTTCCTAGGGGCCCACCCCTACCCCGCCTTCCTTCCACTACAGACTGATACACTCTTGAAGTCATTCTGTTTTGCTCCATTCTCTCTACATGTCCGAACCACCTCAACAACCCCTTCCTCAGCCCTCTGGACAACAGTTTTGGTAATCCCGCACCTCCTCTAACTTCCAAACTACGAATTCTCTGCATTATATTCACACCCACACATTGCCCTCAGACATGAATCTCCACTGCCTCCAGCCTTCCCTCGCTGCAACATTCATCACCCACGCTTCACACCCTATAAGAGCGTTGGTAAAACTATACTCTCTACATTCCCCTCTTTGCCTCCAAGGACAAAATTCTTTGTCTCCACAGACTCCTAAGTGCACCACTCACTCTTTTTTCCCTCATCAATTCTATGATTCACCTCATCTTTCATAGACCCATCCCTGACACGTCCACTCCCAAATATCTGAATACGTTCACCTCCTCCATACTCTCTCCCTCCAATCTGATATTCAATCTTTCATCACCTAATCTTTTTGTTATCCTCATAACCTTATCCTTTCCTGTATTCACCTTTAATTTTTTTCTTTTGCACACCTACCAAATTCATCCACCAATCTCTGCAACTTCTCTCAGAATCTCCCAGAGCACATGTCATCAGCAAAGAGCAGCTGTGACAACTCCCACTTTGTGTGGTGATTCTTTATCTTTTAACTCCACGCCTCTTGCCAAACCCTCGCTTTTTACTTCTCTTACAACCCCATCTATAAATATATTAAACAACCAGGGTGACATCACACATCCTTGCCCTAAGGCCTACTTTTACTGGGAAAAAATTTCCCTCATTTCCTACATACTCTAACTTGACCTCACTATCCTCGTAAAAACTCTTCACTGCTTCAGTAACCCCCTCCTACACCATACACTTGCAACATCTGCCACATTGCCCCCCTATCCACCCTGTCATACGCCTTTTCCAAATCCATAAATTTGCCACAAAGACCTCTTTAGCCTTATCTAAATACTGTTCACTTATATGTTTCACTGTAAACACCTGGTCCACACACCCCCTACCTTTTCCTAAAGCCTCCTTGTTCATCTGCTATCCTATTCTCCGTCTTACCCCTTAATTCTTTCAATTATAACCTACCATACACTTTACCAGGTACACTCAACAGACTTATCCCCCTATAATTTTTGCACTCTCTTTTATCCCCTTTGCCTTTATACAAAGGAACTATGCATGCCTCTGCCAATCCCTAGGTACCTTACCCTCTTCCATACATTTATTAAATAATTGCCCCAACCCCTCCAAAACTATATCCCCACCTGCTTTTAAAACATTTCTATCTTTATCCCATAAACCCCGCTGCCTTACCCCCTTTCATTTTACCTACTGCCTCACAACTTCCCCCACACTCACAACTGGCTCTTCCTCACCCTACAAGATGTTATTCCTCCTTGCCCTATACACGAAATCACAGCTTCCCTATCTTCATCAACATTTAACAATTCCTCAAAAAAATTCCTTCCATTTTCCAATACCTCTAACTCCCCATTTAATAACTCTCTCTCCTTTTTTTTAACTGACAAATCCATTTTTTTCTCTAGCTTTCTTAACTTGTTAATCTCACTCCAAAACTTTTTCTTTTTTTCAACAAAATTTGTTGATAACATCTCACCCACTCCTCATTTGCTCTCTTTTTACATTGCTTCACCAAACTCTCTTAACTTCTCTCTTTTTCTCCATATACTCTTCCCTCCTTGCATCATTTCTACTTTGTAAAAACTTCTCATATGCTAACTTTTTTCTCCCTTACTACTCTCTTTACATCATCATTCCACCAATCGCTCCTCTTCCCTCCTGCACCCACTTTCCTGTAACCACAAACTTCTGCGAACACTCTAACACACATTTTTAAACCTACCCCATACCTCTTCGACCCCATTGCCTATGCCTCATTAGCCCATCTATCCTCCAATAGCTGTTTATATCTTCCCCTAACTGCCTCCTCTTTTAGTTTATAAACCTTCACCTCTCTCTTCCCTGATGCTTCTATTCTCCTTGTATCCCATCTACCTTTTACTCTCAGTGTAGCTACAACTAAAAAAGTGATCTGATATATCTGTGGCCCCTCTATAAACATGTACATCCTGAAGTCTACTCAACAGTCTTTTATCTACCAATACATAATCCAACAAACTACTGTCATTTCGCCCTACATCATATCGTGTATACTTATTTATCCTCTTTTTCTTAAAATATGTATTACCTATAACTAAACCCCTTTCTATACAAAGTTCAATCAAAGGGCTCCCATTATCATTTACACCTGGCACCCCAAACTTACCTACCACACCCTCTCTAAAAGTTTCTCCTACTTTAGCATTATTTTACATTTCACAATTTATATTTCATCCAGAATACAACAAATTTAAAATGTCAGTGAGTCGAGAAGGCATACAGCTAAAGAGCTTCACTATTATGTTAAGACAAGAAATGAATGCTAAACAGTCTTTTAACCCTTTCAGGGTCCAAGGCCAAAATCTGAAGTCACGCACCAGTGTCCAAGAAATTTTGAAAAAAAAAAAAAAATTATTTTTTCTTACAGAATTAAAGAGCATATTTTTGTGAAGGTAATAAAACAAAAAAAATTAGAATCTGATCAGTACTTACCGAGATACAGTGCCAAGAAGTTTGTAGAAAATGATGTGGTGGCGGCAACATCGACGAATTCCACATACGCGTATTATATTATTTTGTTGTTTTAGTCGTTTTTTCTTTTCTTTTCCAATTTTTTTCTATTCCTACTAACATTTGGGGCCTGAGAGACCAATACTGTATATAATTGATATATATATACCACTGTATTGAACACAATAACTGCACTAAAGTTATTATCATATTATTGTTTACCACTGTTGTTTATTACAATAAACATGCACAAATATTGTATAATACTAATGGGTTTTATCATATATTTACATATTTACAATCACTGGACATGGTTTTAGAACTGCTGGAGCTTGGAACCCTTGAAACCAGGCACCATGCACAGAGGCACCTTACATTCCTCACACATAAACCGAGTGTTCCCTTTGCGTCTTTGTTTTCCGTCGTTTTGTTTGTGCACAGACAATGCATCTCTTCTAAGCAAATTTTTTTTGAGTTGAAGGAAGCTGTATTATGAAATGATCACCTTCTCTCCTCAAACGCTTGGGGATATTGTGATGAATCGAGGACCATGTTTTTATTGCAGGTGTTGTTAAACCCGGTACTTCATTATGAGTTGTCTGACAACAGACAAACAAAATTCACCAAACGGGGGTCTGTTACCAGTCTTTAATTTTGGGACTTATTATATGCATTCAGCATTGAAATGTCCATGAGATGGAAAAAAGTTTCATGTACCCTTGTAACTCTTACGAACACAGTCAACAAAACCAATCTGCATTCACACTTGTCAACCAAGCGCATGTTTTGTGTATAATCAATCACTGTCCCCTGTTTTCGAATACGTTCATTAGTCACTCGATCAACTTTGCCACTGTCTTGCATTTCATTACGGTGAAGGTTGTCACAATGTGACATCTCGTTTGTCCCTGCCACCGTAAGCCATGAAGTCATTGGCAGTAAACACCTGCACGTCACACCACGAACACCTGCGTTGAGCCTGGCATATTTTACGATAAACGCACTGTGCCACACACATCTGTCTTGTTCACTCGCATGAAAAACACTGAGTAAGGGCTTGTGTACCAGTTTATCGGTATATAATAAAGGCCCTTTCCAAGATAAGGTGCCATCATGTTTCTCACTACGTCACCTGATATACCCAAAACATCTGGGATCTTTCAATGTTTTACCCACCCGGTAACAACAATATCCAACACCAGGCCACTGTCACAATCACAGAGTACAAACAATTTTATAAACCCAAAGCGGGGGTTTCCCCTTGCTCGGTATATACTGCTTGAATGACAGTCTACCTTTGAACAAAATCAAAGACTCGTCAATTACAAGATTCTTGAATGGATAAAAATAATTTCCCAACTTTTGTTTGAGATACATGAAAACATTTCTAATCTTGTATAACCTGTCACTTCTTCAGGCCTGGTTTTGTCAGAGAAGTGCAACATACGTAACAGTAAGATAAACCTGTCACTGGTATTATTTCACTGAAGGATGGGGTACAAATTAGCCGATCTGTGGACCAGTATGCTTTTATATTATGCTTATAGACGTGAGGCATAAGCATTATTGTTGCAAAAAGCAAATACATTTCTGCAACAGTCGTCTCTTTCCACCTGCGTAGTCTTGACTGTGGTGATAAGATCGTATTTGCCATGGTGTACTGAAAATACTTATTACTTTCCCTGACAATAATTTCCATCAATGGCTGGTCAAAGAATAATTCAAAGAATTCCAGTTCATTGGCCGTGGTTCCAAGGGGACAAGTAGGTAGAATTCCACTTTGAGAGTCATCAAAGTGGTGAGGGCTGGGAATTTTTTCATATGTTTTTTATAGTTGTATTTCCGATTTCTTGGTCTCATTTGATAGAATGGAAGACATATTACAGAAATAGAGATGATTTTGATTGGTTTTAGCACTGGAAATGGCTTGAAACTGAGCTCAAAGTAGCAGAAATGTTAAATTTTTGCCGATATTCAAGAGTAAACAAACGACCTCACACGTCTAATACACATCAGCTGGTGGGTCTAATATACATTCACAAATATGGTGATGATATTTATACAATTAATTACAGTATTGCATAACAGTAAATCTTCTATTTTTTGGTGTGAATAAAAATTCATTGTGAATAAAAAATCAAAATGGAATTTATTGTAAAGCCTCAAAACATAACTAATGAACAAGGAAATGTAGTTTAGTGCCAGGAATGCTTACATTGTTCATTCTGGACCCTATTTTGAAATTGGAATATTTGAACTTTGTGTTAAAATGGCCAATTAACAATTTCCGATCACTTTATTATGTAGTTGAAAACAGTTGACTTGGCGATTTCTTGTGCTCAATCGATAGAATAGAAGTAATACTAGTGAAATAGCTAAGAATTGGTTGACTGAATAATGTAATTGGCCCAAAATGGGAGTCAAAGTCGGCAAAATCGCCGATTCGTAAATATCGCTGACACATCAAAATTCGCGAGAGCATAATTTCGTCAATTTTCCACCAAATTTCGTACTTTTTGTTTTATTACCTTCACAAAAAGATTCTCTAACGATTTCATAAGAAAAAATAACAAATTTTTTTTTTGAAAATTCTTGGACACTGGTGCGTGACTCCAGATTTGGGCCTTGGACCCTGAAAGGGTTAATCGAAAATCATGGTCTCAGTTTTTTTTCTCTCATTATACACAGTGTGCTGCAGGATTTGTTTTATGTGGTGCACACATACCACATAGATGTATTCTCTCATATCTAGGCCCAAATTTACCACTCACAGTTTATCAGAGTGAGCTGAGCTCATGACGTAGATCTACGGTTTGGACCCTGAACGTAAAGCCGTAGATCTACGGGACGGACCCTGAAAGGGTTAACAGTGAAGAAAATTGCATATCACTAGAGTTCTTGATCTTGTTTCTACATTGTTCACTGTTTTCATTAAAAAGCTAAAATTAATGTCACAGTCAACTGGTAACATGACTGGTTGCCTCTAAGAGTGTTTTATGGTCATAGTAGCTTATTGGAAAATATGAAGAAATGTTTGGACTGAGGATCATAATTCTTAAAACATTCATACAAATGTAATAGTAATTCAGAATAAGGTATTAATTTTCTTGCTTATGTAAAATAAACACAAAGAATGGAATACTGGACATGTTTACTGGCTAAATAATTCATAATATTAAGAATGAGTGGCAATAGTGAAGCATTAGATAATTTTAATGAAAATTTTTGGACATAACTAAAGGCAGATACAGGGTACAGCAAGAGTTCAACTTAGATAAATGTTACTGGGGTTTTAAGAAGCAGATGCTGCTGTTGCTTTCAGTAAGTGAGAGATAATGCTGCCCAAATCTTGACAAAAGTATTTTACTGGGAAGCTATTTCTAATAAATACGTTTAGGAGTGTAGCCTTTTGCATCATCACACCATGTTTGCTGACTTCCCTCTTGTAAGTTAGAAACAACATGCAGTACTGCCCAGATGTCTTTAAAGTATAAATTTTATGGCAAGCTATTTTAAAGTTTATATTGTACACTAAAACCTGTCATGGTGTAGTCCCCAGCTTTCAAGTTTTATTGTTGTTCCTGAATAGCCAAAGCACTCGATCTGGTTCCTGCATCTTTGGCACTCTTAGTATTTTTTATTTACATACTCTTAATGTCCATGATTCAGTATCATAAAATTTGTTCAAATAATTTTGTAGAGTATATAATAATATCAGTTGTATTTCCGGCATTGTAGGATATATTTAAAATGTGTTCACTTGATTTCCCATGCTCAAGTCTTTGTTCAGACATTTTTTCTTATTGAGTGACAATATTAACCAGATTAGAGAAACGCTGCATTTAAAGAGAGGTGGCCTCTGAAACAAAATGAGCTTAAGTCTCGAACACTGTTTATTAAGAGACAGAATTATTATTACAGATATTATTGGGCTCTGAATTTGTAAGGACCTTTAGGACCATACCCCTTGTAAATTTGATAGCTAAACAAAGTATAATAATTAGTCAACCATTAAAGTGCTGACCTGATGTGTTAACACTTCTAAACGCTGTATATAATGACAAGAAGTAACTTTTGAATACTATTTAATTGTGAGTTATTGTCTTGGTAAAATACTGTCTATAGTAATGACAGAGTAAAATATTAATACAGTATAGATGTTGAATGAGTTTTCTAATTGTAGTGGTGCTGTCTTCCAAGACATGAATGTTGAGGCTAAAAAAAATAAGTAATGATATGAGAAAATCGATGCTGTATATGGGTAGGTTCCAAACATATAAAATTTGTACTTTGAGTTGCTTTCTGTCTGAATTTTTATTGATACGTGGAGCATTAAATTTTTCTTTTATTTCAGTGACCATCTTCCACTAAGGCAGGGTGATCCAAAGAAGGAAACACATTGCCCTTAAAATATGTTGTGAAAATAATAAACTTTTTTTGTCATTATTAATGCTGCTCTTGCTGTATAGCCCTTGTGGTTTAGTGCTACTTTTGATTATAATAATAATAATAATAATACTGCTCTAACTTTACTTTTCTGTAGTTGATGGACCCAACAGCAGAAGATGAAACTCAGGAAGTGGGAAGTGACTGTGTTCTTCTGGAAAATGATCGCTGTGCACCACACACAAGCCTGGTGTCAACTCATCTTGCCCAACATCCTTGAACCATTTGTTGATCTTGCTAAACAGAGAGTTCATGCTGTTAATACTTTAATTGGTAAAGAAATCAATGAGTGAACAAATATCTCATAATGTTCAGAGCCATGTTTACTTGTTATATGAATAAGCAACACACCATGCAATGTTTATTTTAATTTTTTTCTACTTTTGATTTAATCTAAAAATAAAACAGAAAATCAGTAAAGCATTTTTTTGTTTAGCATGCCACTGATATCTATTCAAGGGAAGCATTCCTTTCACCAACAGACACTGCAATAATCCTATGGGTTTAGCACTCCCCCATATTTCTATGTTGCAGCACTAGGGTCAGGGAGCAAAAATTGCCAAGATATGTTAGGTAGACATTTAGAAAACATGATAGCTCATAAAAACAGTTACTGACAAAAAACAGGAAAATTGGTCTACAAACAAGGACAGGAGAAAAGTAAGGAAAGAACTTCCTTGGTATTTACTATATTATACAAATAGCTAGAATGCAAGAAATAAATTAGATGAACCAAGTCTAATTTGTATGTGCAAGAAACATTATTTCAACAACTAAAACCTGGTTCATTCTGAAAATGGACATGCCTGCAGAATTCCACATAAAGAGGTATAAATTCCACACTGATAGTCAACAGGAAAAGGGTCGACTTGCTATGTATGATAGGAAAATTTAAACTGCTGCATCAGAAATTATAAAGGTGGAAGGGACAGAAATGGAATAGTTTGGCTCAGTTTCTTGAAGGGCATGAAAAGGTGATCTTAGGTTCTGGCAAACGAAAATTCTCCGAGAGAGAATTCTGAGGTTAATGAGGAGCACTGAGAAAGCGATCACAAATCACTTACCTTCAATATCTCATGGAATTACATCAATTATGATAAATAATAGGCTAAAACATCACTTGGGTGAAAAAGAGAGAGATTTACAGGCAAATCAAAGAGTTATGGGTCACCTTACTGAACAATATTCAATTTAAGATAAGTAAAAATTGGAATAAGAAAAGCCAAAAGAAAGTACAAAATAAAGGGTGCAAGAGAATTGAAGATTAATCCAGATGGGTTGTTTTAGGTATGTAGGAATAATATTAGGAAAAAGCTACGATCAAGCACCTAAATTACTGGGAATGGTTGAAGTCCCTTGATTTGTATTCCCTGGAATGCAGGCATGAAAGATACATGATGATATACAATTCGAAAATCCTAGAGGGATTAGTACCAAACTTGCACATGAAAATCACTCCCCTACAAAAGAAAAGGACTCAGCAGGAGCTGCAACATCCCCCCAATGAAAAGTAGGGGTGCCGTATGTACACTAAGCAACAACACAATAAGTGTCCGGGGCCCAAGACTGTTCAACTGCCTCCCAGTATACAAGGGGGATTACCAATAGACCCCTGCCTGTCTTTAAGAAGGTGCTAGACAGGCACCTAAAGTCGTACCTGACCAGCCGGGCTGTCAGGTACCGGTTGATCAGACCCTGATCCACTACGAGTCCTACTCTCAGACCAGGCTGTGGGGGCACTGACCCCCCAAAACCCTCTTCAGGTATACTCCAGGTATACTTAAATGTGACTCTGGTCAGCCAACTGTTTATGACAGAAATGTACCCCATTTTTAGCATCTATTTCCTCTTTTTAACACAATAGGATACACATGAAATTCCATAATTAAATATTTATAATGGTTAGAATGAAAATAAATGAGGTAACATCAAAATCACTAGTAACACGGTCCTCAGACAAGTAGATAGACTGAAGCCATACAGGTCACTAGACCCTGATGAGCTGCTCTCCAGGGTTCTAAAGTAACATGAGGAGGAAATTAGTAAACCATTAGCTAGTCTCAACAGATCACTACAAACATGTATTGTCCTGTACAAGTAGAAAATGGCATATGTGATTCCTATTTACAAAGTAAAGATTGGATTTTCTTCTTTTTGGGTCACCCTGCCTCGTTGGGAGATTGCCGACTTGTTAAAAAAAAAAAAAAAAAAAGGAACTGAGTTTCAAATTATAGGTCCATCAGCCTGAACTCAATTGTTGGAAATTTGGGTGGAATCACTAACTGATGATGCAGTTCGAAGCCACTCTGAAAGACAGTCTGATCAATGAATCTCAGCACAGTTTTACAAAAGGGGCATTCTTGCCTTACAAATTTACTAACCTTTTTCTCTAAGGTATTCTTGGTGAATATGGAATTCAATAAGGCCTTTGATAGAGTTCCACATAGGAGACTCATTAAGAAGCTAGTTGCTTGGTTGATAACGTCCTCAACTCACACTGAGTGCTGGAATTGATCCTGTCATGGATAAAACATTGAGCATGTTTCCTTACACCTACTGCCACACTGCAGTGAGGGGGTATACTTTGGTTTATTTAACTGTTGTGGAATGCATCCTGGGCAGAAAATTCAAGAACCCCTGATGGCAATAAGAGAGAGAGTCCCTCATGACTCACTGATTTTATGGGCTAACACCTCTGGGTCAAAAAACAAATAAAACCTCTTATAACATAGTAGAGATTACCTCCTGGGGTCAAGGCATGGTTGAGGTAGTGGTTGAGAAGTGACAGATGCAGTTCAATGAAAATAGGTGTAAGGTTCTAATCTTGGAGAAAGAAAACTATTGCACTTGTAAGCTAAATAATGTAGAGCTTAGATAAAGTCAATGCAAATAAGATTTAGGAGTTCTGGTTAGCAGGAATTTAATACCAAGAGAACAGTGCATAAGTCTTTACAAAAAAGATAATAAAATTCTTGGCTTTGTATCAAAAAGTATAAATAACAAAAACCTTAAGGTTATAAACTTCAACTTTATACAGTATCTTTGGTTAGGCCTCATTTTGATTATGCTTCTCAATTCTCATCTCATGTTATAGGATGAACATAAATGTGCTGGATTATATACAGAAAAGGATGATGATGATGATGATTCCCTGTATTAGAGAACTTTCCCCACAAAAATAGGCAGAAGGCACTGAACTTGTACTCTCTGAAAAGCATAGAATTACAGGAGAAATGACTAAATATACACATGGAAAATATTAATGAGAAAAAGAGATATAAATCAGGAATGAGCAATACAACAGTTTTTGTCAATACTGATATTCATTTTAGGTCGATACTGATGCTATGAAAATTAGCTGATATGCAACAATATCAATATTTTGGCACACCCCTAACATAAGTAGCAAGTTGAAAAATAATCTAACCAAGACAGGGCTTGTAGCAATAGATTAAAGTTGTAGTAATTTAGATTTGGAGTTGTAGATGGTGTTTAAAAAACTCATAGGTAGCATCACTGAGGGAAGGACTTTGGGTAGCTTTAAATATAAAAGAATAAAGATTTTATTTCTTTGCAAAAGGTGTACAATGTGTTAATTACAATTTTGGTTAAATTATAAAGAAAGCCACTATCATGCCATGGCATTACAGTGGCAGACTATATCCTGCACCATACATAATAACTAACTTAGTCTAGACAAAATAAGAGTGGTTTTAACTTTTTAATACAATACCCTAATTTTATCTTAACCCCTTGCTGGTCGCAACCCCCCAATCCTGAGGTGTCTTCCTGTGTTGCAAAATTTAAAAAAAAAAAAAAAAAATCATATGAAATTCCGAGAATCTTTCGATTGTAAAATGACACCAAAAAAAGAAGAAATCTGATGAAAACTGATGGAATAACGCTCTCGCTAAGTTAGAGACCACAGCGATATTTACAAATCGGTGATTTTAGTCCCACTTTGAGCCCTATTTTTGGCTCATTCCATTGTACCAATAGACCAAACTCATACTAATTTCTTCAGAACTCCATTTTTTCTATCGAATTGAGTACAAGAAACTGCTCAATTACCAATTCCAACTACCCAATAATGTGTCAGAAATTAGCAATTTGCCAATTTCACGAAAATTAAAAAATATGACAATTTCAAAATAAGGTCCAAGAGCAATGCAGAACCTTCCTGGCTCTAAAATAACATTTTCTTGTTTCCATCAGTCCATGTCTCCTTACCCCCTCCTGATATTACACTTGCTTTCTATTTTGAATTTTATTCAAACAAAAAAAATAGAAGATTTACTGTTAGGCAGACTACTGCAATAAAGTAATAATTGTACAAATAATGTCAACCATACATGACTGATATTAGAATGGCTACTTGGACATTACTGGACAATGACATCATTGTTTTTACTTTTGAACATCGCAAAAATCCAAACATTTCCCCTAATATGAGCTCCAATTTTCAGGTTCTTATAGTCATAGTAACACCAAATCAAAATCACTTCTATTTCTATTATACGTTTTCCATTCTATCAAATGAGAACCAAGAAAACGAGAATACAACAATAAATACTATACAAAAATAGACACAAAAGTCTGCATTTTAATTAAAAAAATCATCTCATTTTTTTTTTCTCATTATATGCACTGTAGTGCTCCAGGATTTTTTTTAAATGGTGCAGCGAGCCTCTGACCACACAGACCCATTCCTCCTCACAGTGTGGGGCCTACCCACTTTCTCCTGCTTGATTTGCGAAGCGCTAAATATATGGTATACACAGTGGACCCCCGGGAGTCGCTATACTAATCCTATCCTGAGAGCTCATCGTAAACCAAAAATAATCGGAAAGCGAATCATATTTTTCCCCATAAGAAATAATGGAAACCAAATTAATCCGTGCAAGACACCCAAAAGTATGAAAAAAAAAACTTTTACCACATGAAATATTAAGTTAATGCAATAGAAATAGTAATTAACAATAACCACAATAACATTAAATAACAATAAATAACGAAAGAATAATTGGACAACTTACCTATTTACAATAGAAGACTGAGTATGACTGATGGGATGGGACAGAGGGAGACAGTGTGGATGGTGTTTAGCATTTTAGAGAGGGAATCCCCCTCCATTAATGACTTGAGGAGAGCTAGCAGTCCTTTTTCCGGGATTACTTCCGGTCTTCTATTACACACTTGGAGCGGAGGAAAAAAAAAAACAAAAGAAAAAGAGAAAAGAAATAAAATGAAGAAGAAACGGGACAAAGGGACAAAAAAAGACAAAAAGGGGCGGATGGAGGTGGGGATGGGAGCGCTGTGAGTGTGTAGGGCGGGT